TGTGTGAATTATTTACTCAAATAACCAATTCATGTAGTCCATAAAATGTCAGAATATTGTGAAAATGGCCGTTAAAATATCCAAGGGTACGTCTTGTATTGTCCGATCAACATTCCACCAGTTTATAATGATTCAATACAGAGAAAAGCATCAAATGATCACAATGGAAAAGCCAGGAACCGCAATTGTTAGGATTGTTGGTTAAACAAACAAGAATTGTTAATGAATGATGATATTTGTCAAAGTATGTTGGATTCTCTTTCTTTCACTCTTTCCCGGTGGAGCTGCAGAGGTTAAAAGCTGCACATAAATGGTTAAACTGTGTCATTTGTTTATTCTCACAATGTTTATTGCAAAAATAAAATAAAATATAGCAGTTATTAGTTTCCACCCAGCATGTTTCAGCTGTTCTTGTGTCAGAAGCACATCCCGGACGTTAACAGACACCTTTTCCCTGAACTCCACCAACATTTACAAAGAAGGAGTCTATTCATGAATTCAGTTGGCTTACCGTTAAAGTAATACAGTTGCAAAACAAGACTGTGACCTGTGAACAGACTCACTATGCTCCAGTGTACTCCTCCCTTATTTTTCTGACTCAGGTATTGGCAGCAGTGGAGAAACCTAGGTGTTAGTTTCAGTGACTGAGGAGCAAAGGGAGAAACAAGACAAACTGGGAGTGAGAGAAATTGAAAATTAGAAATGTATTCTCCATTTCTTATGGAACAAAACAGGCCAACCATACTCACCTCTGTGCACAAACATGCTACTAAAATCCTCCTTTAAATAAATAATAAATAGTCTCCTCAGAAGAGCGAGATAAAGACAGGTGGAGTGATGAAGAAGGTGATTATTTTTTAGTTGTTTGATTTATAAAATGTCAGAAAATTATGAAAATTGTTGATCAGTGATGCCCAAAACCCAAGATGACATCCTCAGATGTCTTGTTTTCTCCACAACCCAGGGATATATTCAGTTTACTGTCACAAAAAGGTAAAGAAACCAGAAACTACTCACATCAAAAGAAGCTGGAATCAGAGAATGTTGACTTTTTACTTACTATTAACTTAATTTAATAGTTGAGAACTAATCAATTAATCGTGTCAGTGCTTTATTTTACAATCTGGTGTACTTTCTTTGCCCATGTGCCTTCTATCATCCTCTTTCACTATCTTCCGTGTTCCTTCACATTATTACACCCAATTTATAGGGTTTATAATACCCTATATTCTCCACAACCTGAGTTTACATAATTCATATGATGGTGTGGATGTGTACTGACCTACAAGAAGCATTTTATTATTACCAGAAAATGGAAATAAACAGAAAAAAATGAAGGGAGCTTATTATTTGTTGAGGAATTCACACTGTACCTCTAACATGAACTCTGTGTCAAAATGTAATGATGCTGCAGTTTTTGTTGCATCCTCTCAATCAAGAACAAATCTCTGTCTCTGTAGCATTCATTTAGACTGCAATTAACATGATCGACAAGCAAATAGGACTCCATTCATCTCCTACTGAGCTGAACAGGCTGAGACACTCGGTTTCATCAACAGTTCCTCCTGGCTGGAGCAAAATGGAGATGCCATAATGTTACTGAAAAGGAAGTGCTTTGGGAATGTTTTCAGGCTCTTAACTCTAACCTAACAAACAGTCAACAACCAACACAAAGCCAGAGTTTCCCAAGTGGTTCAGAATTTGAGTTCACACATTTTTAACAGTTGACAATGTCATAACCTTTGCAACATATTGACCACTTATTTACCATACAAATTCATAAACATATGGACACAAGGAACAGGAAAGACACTGGAGGAAGATAAGAGAAATAACTGGAGCCCATGCGTACCCATGCGTGCCCTTGCTAGCTTGTCACTGCTAGTGTTAGCGGTGACTAGTGCCTGACTATTGGCTGTTTGGGGCGAATAAATACGGTCTGCAAAAAAACAGATTTCATTAGCTTCTGCCTGAACACTTTTTGACTAAAGAGTAATATCTGGTTCAAAGAGCGTACTGAGACAAACAAATGTGTAAACTGAATATATGTGTCCTTCAACCCCCCAACAACATGGGAACTAATCACCTAAGATGCTATAAGTATGAATGCCTTGTTAGCTTAGGTTTGGGAAAATTGATAATGATTCTGACAAGGGGGAGAGTATGAGAACTGTACCGAGCACAAGCTGCCTCAAGCAACAGTATGGAAAAAACGCTGGTGGTTTAATGCCTTCCCTCCTCTTTCCTTCACTACCTTGCAGAAACAAGGCCATAAAAACGTGCCCACTGTCTGACCCACTTTCCATGACAGACGTAATCTCCCTATGCAAACTTCAGCCTGTTTACCAGCCCAGCAGAGAGTAAGCCGGACCGGGAGGAGCATGCCAAGCTCTTCACACACAGTGGGGGGGAAAGCTGCGGCTCAGCTGTGCCGAAGATTACACCCGCGGATCCCTGCTGAGGTAAGCGGCCCTCCCTGATGAAACTACACACCACTGGAACGTGCAATGCAAAAAAAGATAAATGCAAACTCTCCTATCATGGCGAACATGCTGTACACATCATTAAGGTTTAAAATGGGGCAAATCTACACACAAGCTGTTTGGCATTTTGTTGATTTGAATCAGACACAATCACTCAACACCAAGGTGTTAACTGCCAACTGCTGGCATGATTGTAATAGCTTTCATCAATTTCCACTGAGTCAATATGCAAAAAAAGTCAGTTTTCACATTGTTCCTGCTGTTTCTTTCAACTATTAGTTTTTGCTCACAAGTTAGTCATTTGTTGCCTGAAATTAATTTCTACCCCTCAAACAACTTGAAGGCTCAATATGTATATTAGCGGCATTACAGGGTGCTTTAAACGGTGTGCTATCATTGTCTTTTCATCTTGCAACCAGGGTTTTGCAATCTGTATTGCAATTTTCAACCACTGCAGCATTTCCTTTCCATTCTGAAAATTAATCTAAACACAATCATAATGCTAATGAATTGAATCTTAAAACAGCAAACTCTTTCCAATATTGAAATCCATATTTATTAGACAGGAAATGCTTTTAAAATTATGTTACAGTATTTTTATCGAGTTTCTAATCTTGCAGAGCCTATCCAAGATCACTTAAACCTTTAAAAATAGTTGATGAAATTGGGGTAATGAGGGTTTTTTTTTCCTGGACAGCAGTGACACACCATCCAGCCCAGTCTGAGACTGGGATGCCTCTTTGTGTCCCCACAGACTGGGTTACTAAGGATACAGGCATCACCGAACCTCCATTAAGACATCAGAGCCCTCTCTGCACTCCCGTCGGACACCGTCGGCTCCAGTTTCCTCCCTGAAACTGAGACTCTAAATCGGTCTGGAGAACACACACACACACACACACACACGCATGCAGGCAACACACCCAATGCAAATGTGCAAACACAAACGTGTATGTGCAACACTTGAACTCTCCCCTGTTACATGGCAAACACTGTGTCCTGAGCACTTTACACTGGAAGATATCGCTGTGTATAGAACTGTGAGAACCCATCGGCTTCCTCTTTGTGTCACTGAATTTTTAACCTTTTCAAACAAACACTTTATAAGTCACTTAAAGGCTCTAATTCTCCTGCCAACAATTTCTTGATTAATCATCATATTTGACATGCACACAATGGAAATAAGGCCTGGGTCAACCTGGTGGAGCAGAGGGATTTACAATACATGTCTGTCTTTAACGTGACATTTCCAACACAAGGAAGGGAAGTCAGTGAGATCCCTGTCAGCAACAGAATGGTATCACATCATCGCTTAACCAGCACAGAGTGAACAAGAGAGCAGAAGACAGCAATGAGGGTAGAGGGTGGGATAGGAAAAGAAAGAGAAGGGAGGGGGGACAAGAGACACAGAGGCAGAATGAGATTGGAGGGAAGTCATTAACTGGCAATCAAGCTTTAGTAATGGCAAGAGTGTGCATTTGCTTAATTCCTTATCAGGCAATGTACCCCAACCCCACCACCGTGACAGCTCAGCATTCACACTGGAAGTGATGTAAACTAATACCTGCATCTTTGAAGCCTCCACACACACACACACACACAAAGATACACTCGCTGTCCACCAGAAGCACTCTCTTTACTAAGCTTCTGAGTGAACATGCAATAAAAGTTGGTTTCCACACAGTTCACAATGTTTCTTTTAACTCTAACTCTTTAATTTGTTTTTGCTCACACATTAGTAATGTAGTCCTACTCCTCAAATAAGTAGAAGGCTCAATACCTATGTTACAGGGTGGAATGAGGTGGTTTAAACAGTGTGCTATCATTGTCTTTTCATCTTGCAACTAGGGTTTTGGAAGGAAGTCATGAAGACCTTCAGAAGCTTGTGCATATTATGCAATCTGTATTGCAATGTGCAACCACTGCAGCAACGATTTAGCTTTTATTTTCATTCTGAAAATGAATCTAAACGCAATCTTGATGCTACTGAATTAAACCTTAAAACGGCATACTCTTCAAAAAAATGTCCAATATTGAAATCCATATTCATGACAGGAAAGCCTTTTAAAATTCTGTTACAGTATTTTGCGGTGTAAACTAATACCTGCATATTTGAAGCCTCCACACACACACAAAGATACACTCGCTGTCCACCAGAAGCGCTATCTTTACTGAGATCTACACTGAGGTAAAGACCAAGTCAAAACAGGTGCATGGGTATATGTGACTCTTGTGTGCAGACAACTTGACAAAGACAAGTACTCTGCAGCTGCAGCACTCGCAGTAATAATCCTGCGATGACTTAAACAACCAAATGAGGGTACAGTAGCGTTAATAAATGGTCAGTTCACGGTCCCAGAGCCGCTGGCAGGACAAAGCAGGTGACGGTTTATTAACAAGAGACACTGAATAGGCTGGCTAGCGCTGAATTAGCCTCCTAACGGCAGTTTATAGTAACCGTTGGTGCGTTATTATCGATATTAAGCAAAGTCAGGTGGCTTGTGAACATGTACTCACTGCGATATGAATGATGAACTCCTTTTATTGTCTTCGGTGTGGCTGACTGGGCTGCTAGCTTCTCCACCAGCTGCTGCCTGCCTGGCTTTTCCCCCAACTTGCTGATGCTAGCAAGCAAGCTAACGCTCCACCGGCATAAAAAAATTAAAAATCGTCTTAATTTCTCCCTTTTTTTTTAGGCAAAAAAAATAAAGAAAAGTAAACCCGCTCCGTTACCACGTAAAAACAAAACAAAAAAAAAATAGCCCTGGGAGCTTGTGTTATTTGTTCTCCTGTTCCCGGAGTTATGACTTACAAACGCTCACCGTGACACAAAATACGGTGTTTTATTTTAAATGACAGGCTCTCCGCGATGCGCCGTCCTTTGTTGTGAGCATCTCAACGTAAACACAGAGCGGATCTGTTCTGCCCGTGCTGTGGCTGAGAGAGAGCGTACGCTGGAGGAGGAGACAGACGTCACCGCGAAGCATTCTGGGACGTGTAGTTTACTCGTTACTAGCTAATACAGGTATTTTTCACATTAGTATTCAGGTAAAGGAAAATAACCAGTGGTGGAGTGTAGCTAAGTGCATTTACTCAATTACTGTACTTAAATACAAATGTGAGGTACTTGTAGGCTACTTTAATTTTCTTCTCATGATACTTTATACTTCTACTACTTATTAGCATAGACTGTATATAAAAAGCTTATTGGAGACAAATATTGTAGGCTACTGTTTTACTTACCTACTACAATTTGACCGATAATAATAATAATAATAATAATAATAATAATAATAATAAAAGGCCAATAATAATAATAATACATTTTATTTCTATAGCACTTTTCTTAAGAATGTTACAAATTGTTTTACAAAAATAAATAATACCAGACAAGGCAGATAAAACAATAATAAGGCCAAAGAACATGAGCAAAGAGTAAGTATATACAATATTTTCTCAAAGTTTTAGTTACTAGTTACTTTACTTTGCAAAACATATGAGTGTCTTATAAAATATGATGTTTTGTTTCTATCTATCTATCTAAAACAATTAGTCAATTACTCAATTAGTCGATTCCCAACAATTTTGACAATTGTTTTATTTTTTTTATAACCAAAAACCATTCATGGTTCCAGCTTTACAAATGTTTGAGGATTTGATGAGTTTCCTTTTAATTATGTTAATCATTTCAAAGTATTTCTAATAATTTTGAGGTTTGGACTGTTGATTGGACAAAAAAAGCATTGTGAAGGTGTCACTTTATGCTCTGAGTAATTGTGACAGCATTTCTAACTATTTTAAGAATTTTTACAAACCAAACAATTAATCGATTAATCACTAACATAATGGTTGTAGTAAAAGGTAGGCCTACATTATGTGTTTCTGAAATGAAAGTGGATTAGAAGAAGCCTTGGAAAGAATAAAAATAAATATTCAGGGAAAGTGGAAGTACTTGAATAAATGTACTTAGTTACCTTCCACTACTGCTGTTGTATAGTACTTTGTTCAACAGTTAACTAAGTAGCTGATCAAATCTGTAGTATTCTGTGGTTCTACAAAGTAAATGTAGTAATACTTCACTGTAATAATACTAAAAAAATAAGTAAAGTAAAGTAAAGTAAAAATATTCACTTGTTCCCTATGTATTATGATGGACTCTATCTCCATCAGAAGTATATTTGTTTGCTGTTCACTGTGGATTAGTTGACACTCTATCAATGCTTATTGTACATTTTTGAATAACTTAATTTGCAAAGTAACTTAACTAAAAAGTACAATTTCCCCAGTAGAGTAAATAAAGATAAGAAATAATAAAACTATAAAGTCTCTCAAAACTTATTTAAAAGGTCATAGCCTCAAATTTTAAGGTAGCAGTCCACCTCTGGGTGAAATCAATGATCACATCTGTCAACCAAGAAGTGTTTTGATTTGACGTGCAGCAGACGGCAACAGGAAGTCACCTTGAACACCAGTGAGACTTTCAGTAGGTCTGCTGCTCCATTGCCTCCACATTGAACTTTGACGTGAATCTGTGATATTCAGGCTCCATAGACACACCTGACTCCTTCTCCCCAGTATGCCCTTTCACGCTCACTTTTATCCAAAACACCTGACATACCATGAGTGCTTACATTTTCAGCCTGGGTGTGTTGCTGCAACCTCCATCTTTATCTTCATCTGCAGAATGCTGCATGCCTTCTTTCTGCTGTGAATATGCGGGTGTGTGAAATTATTATTTAGTTTGTTTTGGAAACCACTTTTATATTTTTGAAGGCGATGTCAGAAAGTTTATGTTTCTTATTGCAGATTTCAGCAACTGAGCAGTAAGGAGAGAAATTGGAGGTAGTTTTCTGGACTGCTTGTGTGTCTGTATAAATGATAAAACTAGAAGACTGCATATCAACATGACTCAATCCTCTAAATTTGCTATTTTAGTAAAATGGGTCGTGTAATCTGCATCAAGATACAGATTTGCATCAAAATCACATGAAAAACAGTAATGTCACTGAGTTTTTTTGTCAAATTATCCAGTTGAGAAATTCTTGTAAATTACCTTGAGCCACACCTGGATCCAGATTCAAACCAAGAACTAATCACATGTTCTTGACCTGTGGCCCTAATGTTCCAACCAAATGTCATTGAAATTCTAGTTTCTAGCCTTGAGCGTAGTAGAAACAATAAAAAGACTCACCACAAATCACTATAGCTAGTCAAACAAACAAAACATGTAATAAACCACAGAAACCCCTTTTTCTATAAGAAAAACTGCCCTGTGGAGCTCCTGGTAACCTGGTGGTTAAGGCGGATATACTGTATAATCATCTTGTCTTTCGTTTGCCATTATAGCCAGGAACCTTTGTTGCATGTTTTCTGTCTCTCACACTGTCCAATAAAATACACCAAACCAAAAAGGACCAGTGACTATGACATATATTCAAATTACTGCATCAGTAATGCATTCAGTAATTTGATATACTGTTCCAAGGCAATATCTAGTTCATCATATCATATCATCATCATTATCATATTAGATAACTTCATTTGCATAGGGGAAACTAGTTTGGTAGCCCATGCAGAGTGAGTCAGACAGGTCACAGCACAATGAAAGACATTCTGTCACAACAGCAGTAACAGTAACACACACATGTATTTCAAGATGACATTTGTGTAGCACAGAAACCCAAATAGCTAAAAACAAAACAATGTATAAAAAAACAGTTGATTCATTAATAAACCAAGAGCTTGCCATAGTTAATGCACTACATAACATGAACAATAAAACAAGTAATTAACATAAATTGAAACCTTAAAAATAAAACAATGAATAGGAAACAAAATCTTAAAATCGCCGTCAAAAAGTACAACACAGTGTCGTTCTTATAAAATGACCTTTCTCTTCCAAAGAAAGATTTGAATCTGTCCCAGATGTGGCCAACATCATTGCAATACAGCTCCAGCTGTGTGTAAGAGTATTCACCAGAAGACGTGTGTGTGTGTGTGTGTGTGTGTGTGTGTGTGTGTGTGTGTGTGTGAGAGTGTGAGAGTGTGTAGTGTGTGTGTGTACTTGCTTTGAGTGGCAGACTTGTCCTTCAATGTGAGAATGTGTGGAAAAATCAGGTGAGGCCAAGAACACATTAAACTGAATTTAACACACACGCATACACATATATGCACACAGAAACAGACTATTTTTATACTGCTGAGATGCTGTAAAACACACACTTACGTTTGCTAATAAAATACATGCCTGCTGCTTTACTGAACACCAGAATTGAGTAGTGGGCGTTGCAGGTTGAAGTGTTTTCCAACGAGCTGCAGACACTGAAAGAAAACTCTGCCTTTAGGACTTTGCCTTAAGAAACCATGTGTGCCTGTACATAACCCCCCCCCCCACACACACACACACACACACATGCACATAAATCCATGCACACGCCTTACATAATCATTGCCCGCATTTTAATCTGTGTTTGAACCCTCCTGTTTACGTTGCTACGGTTACAACACCAACACCTCTCCTGGACGTTTCCAGGGTTGGAAGCAGCAGACACACCTTCCTTTGATTCCACGGGTGAAGGCTTTGCAGCCAGTTCACTTTGCTCCTGATGGATGTTTTGACAAGTGCTTCTCTATCCAAGAGCCAACGGGCTGCACTTCTGTCTAAAGCATCAGGAAATGATGAAAAATATAGAGAGACACACACACACAGTGCGTGTGGTTTGATTACAAGCCTCAGGTACACGGTGGATCCTGCCAGTACTTGTGTTTTCACACTGTGCGAATCCTTGCCGGAGTGCAAACCCAGTTATTCTGTGAAGTTAAGGGAATATTATCTTTAGCAGGTTGATTTAACTTCCACCTCTACAGTACTTCTTATAAGCACATACCTAAATAAAGTGCTATAAGAAGACATGAAAACAGAAAATAATAAAATACAACATAAAGCTGTAGGAGATGACAACAAATAATTTGATTTGAATGAATATAATATTTTTTATAACAACATGTTCACAGTTTTACATGTTTTTTCCCCATGTGCACCTGATGTTTATGACCCTGGGTGGTTCGGATGATTAACGACACCTGCCATCATAGAGCTTGTCAGCCTATTGGTGTGCATGTTGTAGAAATATGGATGTGTTGTCCATTTTTCAAACATTCTGACCTGATGATCGAAACGTTTCATTATTAAACTTTGTGGCAGGGCGTTACCTTTTCTGTTTAAATTTACACCAGATAAATTTGCACCATGCTTTATGTCATGAACTTTTTTGATTTATTTGAAGTGTTTATAATGAACATAATAAGAATTTTGGATTTTCTTATTTTCTCAGTTTCAGTTATAATAAACTATTGTTCAAGGCGCTGAATAGAAAATTGTTAAAACAAGAATTGGTAAAGAAAGATACATTATGACAAATGTAATTAGCACAATAACACAAGTGGGGGAATTTTCAAATGACATTCAACCAAGTTTTAAAAAGTGAATTGTAAACTATTTAGGATTTTGTGCCATACTAGAGTGCAAAGCAATCTCAAGCACCTGAAGAGAAGTGTAGCTGCATCCCGCTGAAGAAGTCTACAATGAAACTAAATAAAATCGTTAAAATATTTAAATTGTAACCATATATGTAGAAATATAGTCTCTTGACAAGCTTCTGTCGGCAGAGAATAAAAAACAAGTTTTTGATTTTCATGTGTCTTAGCTGCAGCAGAGTTTCTTCCCAAAAATACCATACCATAATAGGATTCCATCAGTTTTAACATTTATAGTCCAAGCTTTTGGCAAGCAGTCTAGATCTAATTTCACTAAGTGAACAGGTAATTGCAGGAGGTGGTTCTGCTACTGAATGTTTTGACAGAGACTGAACTGTGACCTCAGGTTTTTGAGACAGTTTGTTCAACAACTAGACCAAGTCCA